CCCCCCCCCCCCCCCCCCCTCCTCGCCAAAGACTGGCTTGAGGTTGGCCGCCGCCGTTGCGTGCGGTTGTGAACTATTGTTCAGCCATATGCCGTTCCAAATCACGGGATTGCTTTGCCTTTCGATTGGTACTCATCTGCACGGTTTGTCCTGGAATAGGCGAAGGCGCTGCGCCTTCTTCATCCGCTGCTTGTCATAAGGCTTTCACGCCCGTTCCCGCCCTGAAGCGATCTCACCGTGCACCTCTTCTCGCGGTCCCCTATCCTGAGCATAGCACATACCCCACATACAGCCAGCCCGAATACGGGTGCACCCACGCACATTGCACATTTCGAGAGTTGGTAGAAGTTTCACCACGGCACGTCCATTTGTTGTCCGTGATTCGTTTTTTGGAAGGGCTCGATCCGAAGACGGCATGGGTTTCCGCAAAGGGAGGCATGTGCTGCAGCAGGCGTCGCTGGTTGGTCACCTCGTCAAAAGGCGAGCCGACAGAGTTCACGGACCACACGGGTTGATTCTCGCTACATACCGACGGGGGCGGGTTTCTTGTGGTTTGTTGAGCTTTGGCGGTGGTCTGTCCTCTATTGTTTTTTGTTCCTTGTCGGCACCTTTCGCTTGGTCTGTAACGTGCGACACTTCGTGCTCGATGGACGATGTCTGTTAAGGAAGGGGGCGTATTCGTTTGTGCGTGGTATTCGGGATGATTCATTTTGGTCGTGAAAGCTTTGACCTCCCGTTCTACACGCCACGAGTCGAGCTTTGAAGAGGTGGAAACCAACCCAATGAACTCCTATCTTCACCTTCTGCTGCACGGAGAGGATCAGAGTTGGAGGGCTGCGGCAGTCGTCATCTTCTCGGATAGACGCAGAAACTATCCACACAGGAATTACACAATTAACCATCTCTTCCAATTTCCCATGTAACCCGGGGTTATTGATCACCTCCACCAGAAGAATTCTGTCCGCCCCTTTTGCTGTAGTCGCGACAACTCAAGATCGTTCCATCATGTAGTTGTTCTTCTTTTCCCTCAAAACCACGACTTTACGAATGCATCTATTTCCACAGAAAAGAGCCCGGGATAAGGTTAGCAATGAATCCAAGGCGGTAACACAAGAAGTGATCATAATCAGTTCTTGTTTACCGCTTTTCTGGCAACATGAAGGGGGCTCGTGGGTCCCACCGGCGCCGGCGGTGAGAGCGGTCACGGCGAGGACGGCCCGAGCGTGCTGCACGTGGAGATGGGCGCGGGTAAGGGCACCCTGGGACAGTCCATCGCCACCGCCTTTCCAGGGTCAGACGTTACCATGGTTGAGCGCTCCTCCGTTCGACGAAAGGTGCGACAAGAGAGACCTTGTCCTAGAAGTCGGGGGTAGAGGGAAGGGGTAAGTCCCCCGCACCACGGGTTTCAACCGATGCAGTGGCCCTGGATTGTTGTAGTTGTACGAAAAAAGCACTGAAAAGTGTAGTATCCTACAGGCACGTCCCACTACGACAAGTGGGGGGGCGATCGCCATGATTAATAGGACGAAACACACACGAAACAATGTGGCGTTTGGTTGTTCTGTTCTGATTTCGGTCTCCTCTCTTGTCAGAGGTGTTTATGTTACTCTGTTGTAGTAGGACGACTTCATATCAATCCGCGCCCCTGAGACTCTTCAATGTTTGATGGGAAATTTTGTGCTGCGGCCGGTTGACCACTTTTCCCGGGAGCCTTAGCCCCGCGTATGCCATGACGGCGCGCGATGCACCTAGGGGCCATGGGTTTCACCATATGTTGTTTTTACGTGTGACACTTTCATCTATCTGCATGTGGGCGTGGCGCCATTTTCGCTACGCGGCTCTTCGTGCCATTTGCTTAGGTGAACGTTCGTGTGTGAGCTACGTGTAACGGTAATATAAACCTCTGACGTGCGTATGAGTTGGGGTACTCAAAAGCACCGACAGCGGCAAGTACGCCTACAAACTCGTTTTTCATGTCTTTTTCCTTTTTTTTGTCGACAGTTTCGTGCAGCGTTGCTGACCCCCGAGTTTTTTAGATATTTTAGTACAAGTGACAGGGCCGCCAATGTCATTAACCTTTTGTTCTGGTTGGGATCTAGCCGGATACTATTATACGTCGCCCCGGTGGTCTAGTGTGTAACCCCGCTGCCTGCTAAGGGCCAGGTCATGGGTTCGAGTCCCGGCAGAGTGAGTTTTTTTCTCACTAAATAAATCCTGGTCAAGGATGAAAGCGACGCGCTGCAAAGCTCGTTGTTGGTAAACCATAATCGACTTCGTAAGTCGCGAGGGAAGGGATTGCTATACCCTTCTCGCGATAAAAATACCTCAGGCAGGAACCGCAGGAGGGGATCCAGCCCCCCCGTCCTATGTGACCCCGGTTGGGTCGTCTAGCTGGTTGAAGTGGAGGATAGGGGCCAGAAGGGCAGACGACAGAGTCCAATGATGGGAGAAAAAAAAAAAAAGTACTGCTCGTTTTGTGGCGGGGGACGGGCAGCACGGGGTCGATGAATTCGAAACCTTCACTTGATCACTGCTGCAATTTGCTCTCCTTCGCTGTTCCCCAGCTGGCGACCAACCCGGGTGATGGACTATATCAGACAACAAGCAGACAGTGACGCAGTACGATGTGTCTAGTGCAGTGTATTGCCTCCCTTCCTCCCCGGCCCCTTACATTGTTCTTGTGCGATGCGATTCTAAATATTTTGCTGCTCAGGCGGAGAATCGTCTGGAGGGCGTGAGCACGAGGGCGAGGATCGACATCCGCGACCTCGACATGGGCGGCTTGCCTTCCCTCACGGCCGCGGGGGACGACAGACCGGTCGTGGCGGTCGCCAAGCACCTGTGTGGGGTGGCGACCGACCTAGCTCTCAGGCGAGATGGGGGGGCGACCGACGGAGAGACTAACAGGGAGAAGCATCAAGCGGGAGTAGGCGGAACATTCGAGAGACGGACAGACAGGCAGAGAGAGAGAGAGAGACAGAGGCAGAGACGAAACTAGAGACAAACACAGGCACAGATACACGCAGACACACACACAGAGAGAGCGAGAAAGACAGACAGACAGACAGACAAATAGATGGAGGGGGATTTTGACACTTGCGTGGCAGAGAAAAGAGCGCTGGTTTCCTTCACAGGACCTTCACCAATATCAGGTGCTCGTTGGTACTAACAACGCTGCCGTGCTCCTACCCCTTCGTTCGACACGCTAAGCGCAAAACGGTTCTGGCCAACGTTTTTTGACATAGAACACAAGGGCGCGAGCCGACCATGACGTACCTTTCTAGCAGAATCCCTCTAAACACGGTTCAGCTCAATGACTCAAGCACCTGCCATTTCACCTCCTCGTACCCCGGCACTTTCCCCCTTGGCTGGCTGTCCTCGCGCTGAGTCTCCGTCGTTCACTCCCCAACTTGTATCGCAGAGCAATGCTTACCCTTCCCCCCCGACGGGAGAGCCGTGACGCCGACGACGGTGGCCACGTTTGCAACGGTGACCCAACGGACGCCCCTGCGGCGGCGACGACAAGGGTGGGAGGGGTTGCGATCGCCACGTGCTGTCACCACGTGTGTAACTGGAGGGACTACGTGGGCAGGGACTTCTTGATGCAGCAGGTTCGGCCGCAACTGTGTATGGCTGCCTGGGGCGGTGTGTGTCCAGCAACAGGTTTATCCCGCTAGTAACCGTAACGCCGCCGTACGCGGGATTTTAAACAAACTGCTCACGTTGTGGACTTGATTGTATGGAGTTATTGTCTGCGTTTGTGGTAGGTGGTGGCAGGTGTTGCGGGGGGTTAACGACTGCTCGGGAAAATGACTGCCGTTCATCGCCCTCCTGTACGATCGGGGGAAAGACGCAGTGGCTCTTGGTCGCCATCGCAATGTTCTGAACGTTCACGTATCTCTTGGTGTGGCTCCCTTTTTTGCATGCATGGTGTTGTGTTGGTTCGTGCTTGTTCCCATTTCCAGGTCGTGTTAGTTTTGTGCCTCGATCAATCAGCTGAGTGTGTGTCGCTGGGTTGGAGAGCAAAGCGCCCAGCGAAACATGACACGCCACGCCACCAAAAGCGCGTGCTTGAGGGTAGATCCAAGCACTATTTTACCGTGCCCTTCATGCCGGTCTGCCTTCTTGCTAGACACGTGTGTGCCCGCTCGCGAGCTTACCGCCCCCTCCATTATGGTCATGTTGTCGACTATCTTGCCGTGTGCCTCTGTGGTTTCGTTTTGTTGCCTCAAGGGTTTCTCTGCACGCGACTTCGAAGCCATGCGGCGAATCTCCGCCTGGATCAGCCTGGAACCAGACGCGGGGGCCCGGAAGAACAACAGATACCCCGACGACAGACACCCCGGGGTAACTTTTTCGCTGTCTTTTCCTCGAAAAATTCCCGGAGAAACTGCGTCGGTGGCGGCAGGATCACTACGCCCGGCAGCTGAAACGAGAAAGCTACAACCAGTCCTTGAACCAGGCGGTGGTGATGGTCCGTGGCCCGGAGAACGCGAGGCTGATAGCTGCAGTGGAGGTGGTCCTGGAGAAGCACGAGAAGGGATATGGACAGAACAATTCAGTGGGGAAGGAGAAAACAGTCTCGAGCGTGCCGGAGAAACAAACGGAGGCCACTCGTCATCTTCGCCATGGCACGCAACGGCGGCGCCATCGTTGAATATGTCGGCGTCAACACCGTCGTCGTTGCAATTGCCCACCAGCGATAACGCCAACGCTAGCACTAGCATCGGCGACGGCAGCGAGGTGTTGGTCCCCCTCACGCCGTCGGAGAAGGCGGCGGCAGCGCGCGGGTGCAAGCGGCTGCTGGACAGGGGCAGGAGGGCCTTCATCGAGGAGCGCCTTGGGCTGTGTTCGGAGATTGTGCACTTCGTCGGTAGTGACGTCACCCCGGAGAACGCCCTCCTCTTGGGGTTTCGAGCCGAGGACGGACCTTAGGTAGGGGCCGGGGGTTAGGAATCCCCGGAAACATCTGTTTTTGTTCTTCGAGCCGAGGGCGAGCCTTAGGTAGAGGGAGAGGTCCCCGGGGTCGCCCGCCCCGGAGCATATGCCCTCTTGTCTCAGTGCTTCGAGCCGAGGAGCCTCGAGTAAAGGGAGACGTCGGGAGGAAGACGACAACGGAAAACGCCCCGACATTTTGGTATTTTCAAGGAGCAGGTGCGGGGCAGAAGAGATGGATCTCCCCGAACGGAGCTGACCTCTCTCGGCATCGTCAAGGAGCGGAAGGTCTACTGCAGAAGAGAGACGTCCCTTTGGTAGATAGTTTTGGCCACAGCGTGAGCCGGCCCTGTGTCCCCCCCCCCGCCCCTGGTTCGGTCCATTGTCCTTACAGTCTTCTGGGTCGGTGTCGACCAATCCCACTGGTGAGGGATTCCTGTACTTGGAAGGGCAGCCTTCATAGCCTACAGATTTGAGGTCTCTCGGCTGTTTCCCGTGCAAAGGCACACGTCCCTTTCGGTTTTTTTGGCACGATAAAAACCCGGTTTCGGGAAAAAGAAGCAAGTCGTTGATAATTCTGGTGGGAGAGTCTGCTCAGGAGGAGGAGCGCATATCGGTATTCCTGGTTGGGGTTCTGCAGAGGTTTGGACTTCTGTCGCGCTACCCTGGCAGTGTGGTTCAATATCTCCCGTTTGGCGAAATATATTGCCGTTCGTGACGGCAGGCTCTTCGAACGGCGAGGCCAGAGCACCCGTTCTTTGCGCCAGCGTACGCGAAAAAACGTGACAATTGGGGAAATTGTGTGTTGGGTATTCAATAGAATTAGTTCTCCCCTCCAGGGCGACAGGCGGTCCTGCGAGGGTGATCTCTGTACGTACTCACTCTACTCTTCGCAACCACTGGCAAGGTTTTTACTACGTTGCTATGCATAAATGTGTGCATATTTCCGAAAGATTGTCAAATCACGCCGTACGAGACGAACGATAGCGTTGCACATCTCCATTGTTTGCTTCGTTGAGCGCTGTTACAAGTAGGCTACAGAGAGAGCTTGTTCGTTGTTTTTTTCTTCTTACGGCGGCGCCCTCTGTTCGATTTACTCGGACATTTTTTGCACGATGTCCTTGCCGCCGAGCTGTTGCTCCTTGCTGCGCGTCTGGCAATGCTAGTATCCCTTTCTAACGCGGTGGGATGTTCATCATCCCATCCGCCCCCCAAAAAGACCGCGACGAGGAAATTTGCGACACAACGGGGGAACAGAATAGAAGTACGAAGTACTTTGAAGTACCATATCTCCGATTTGGGGTCGCACCTCGTCCCACCGAAGAATTGCCGGGCGGTGAGCACTTCTTCTGTGCTGACGCGGGAATGGGGTTCCGCTCTCCATTCTCCAGATGTCCTCACCACCAGCCGTGCTCGTCGTTGTGCTTCAGCTCGGCCCTTCCTCGCACACACGGGCCCATCAGATCATCTCTGTGTCACTTCCATACGTACCATGGGGATATTTCACTTTTTTTTTCTGAAATGCGCGTCGGAACATCTTCTGGGAGCGCCAGCTGAGGAGCTGAACTAACACGGCAGCAGTAACAGCCTCACAGAACTTACCCTCCGTCTTTCTTTTGCGGCACTAGTCATTTTGCTATCGCGAGGCGAACTGCGTGCCTTTCCCTTGTCGACAGCAACAGTGGAGCCAGCAGTGAAGTCGAGTCTAAGCGCGACGCGGGAGACCGTCGGGAAGACCAGACCAGACCAACACGCCTCCTTGTATATCCTAGTGTGCTGTAGTTGTATCGTCCCTCGTCCACGGACGTACAATGCTACTGGAATGCTGGATATGCAGTACTAGCTTCTTGCACTTGCTTGATATCTATATGGTGACGAGGGGGGCTGTACACCGTGGACGTGTTTTCGTGCACATGCAATCATCAACGCCGTTAGGACTCGAAATCAACATGCATCTGATTGGCTAAAATCGTGCGGAAAATGGGCTTTTCGTCGGTGACTGCTGACTGATTGGTTCAAATCTGCACCCCATGTAGACTATTTGGTTTCACACGGACCGGAACGAAGAACGACAGGCTGTTTGATCTGGATAATGTTCTGCTGTACCCTACATAGCAAGGAAGAGCATCTACGAGTGTGTGCATGTCGCCCTGCGCGAAGCTGCACTGGTGATCGATGTGTGTATACGGATGCAGGCACCCGTGGTGGGGGGGGGAAGGCACTTGCGTATACGATGAAGTGGGGTCTTCGTCGTTTTGTTCCTGCGACGCCGGCTTTGCCTCGCGAGACGCCGCGGGAAATGCCAGCTGTGTCCCAAGCAATGTGCTTATCATTGGCTATCTATTTCTGGCAATTGTGTCGATGCTTACTGCGGCGTTTCTGGCTTGGCATATCAACGGATACCGTCGGTTGCCTGCACGGTCTCAGAGCTCACGCAAGACTGTGATTCGGATGCGGGGGATGGTGACTGGGTGGTGAGTTGATTCGGGTGGAGTTGTTGCAAAGGTGTCACTACTGCTGTAGATCTGGCAACTTTGGCCGTCCATGTAATGGTGTACTAGTAGTTATTTTCACCGATAGCGCTGGCTGGCTTTAGCAAACGACAAGACGTCGGTCAGTGCCAGAGGGTAAACCCAAGGTCCCTGGAAGGGGGTCGTAGTTCGTGCATGTATGTGTAGGTTAACTTACATATGTAAGTGTAGCATTGACCGCACCCAACCGAAGGACAAATGAATGAAGTATCCGAGGCAAGTTCAACACATGAGTACAATGAGTAGTCTTGGGAAGAAAAATATGCACAAGGCCACGTACCGTAGCCGTCCAGCGAATACAACAGGATGGTCTAATAGATGCAATACGGCCGACCTAAGCATGCACTGTGTCGCAGGCTGCCATGTGAGCAGGAGCCTTTCCAGCTTCCGTCACGACCTCCGCTGGTTGGATTAATACAACAGCTGTTGTTGTTGTCTGCACATTAAAAACCGTTCCGTTCTCTCTGCCCGTACCTTCTTCTGTCCGTACACAGCAGTAGTCTAACACTTGACGGGGTCGATTTCCGTGGTCATAGGCTAACTTACTCAAAACGGTATACGAAAATAACTTGGACCCGAATGGTCCGCAAGCCAATAAAAGTCAACGACAGATAGTCTAGGTCACTCCGCTCGCCTTTACACGCTATGCGAGGTAACCCTAGATTGGAACAAGAATGAATAAGAAAAAGCACAAGAAAAAGAAAAAGAAAAAGAAAAAGAGAGCAGCTGATGGATAGAATACATACAGTAAATAGTGGTATTGTGAACAGCGAAGGGTGTACCTGCCGATGGCCAGGAAAGTCAAAACACAGAGGACAGAGGTGTGGAAGCTACAATAGACTACATTTATTATGTCAAGACGGAAACGATTGTTGTCATGAGGTTTCTTTGCGATGAATCGGAGAGTTGCAGGTCGGGGACACAGGGGTGACGAGTCACCCGCCCGCCCCGATGATTTATCATAGCAATTCCACTAATTTGAAACAAATCCAAATCTCTGGGCGACCTACCTTGAACAACAGTGTATGCAACGCATTAGGGGGAGTCTCAGAACACGGGTTGACACTTAACTCATCAAAGTGGAACTTTTGTGTATGTGTTCTACTGTGGGATGAAGGGTTCAAATCTGGGAGCGTTCATGAAAGCGAGGGAACATCGAGTTCCTAAATCTGGAACAAACGCGGTGTTCAGATTTAGAAAAGTAGAGATAGATCTGGCGCCGCTTGTTCCTACAGCAAATTGAAGTGTCTTTCAGGAGACGAAAAAGATTCAGGAGGAGCAGGCAAAGACCCACCACCACAACAAAAAATAGCATTACAATAGACTAGTGGGATGACCTGTTGGAATCCAAGTCCAGGCACCACGGAAAGTGGTGAAGACTCCATCGCTGCCAACGAAGGCCAGACCTACATCTATCTGAAGGATGCTCCGCGCGTCGGACGTTCGGCAGGTGTGAAGCATTCCAAGAAGAAAGCAAGCGTGTGTTTGATTATCTGTCTGTTATTGCTGCCAGATTGTTGCTGGGTGAGAGAGGAAACACCAGGCGGAGAAGGAGGAAGATCAAATCTACCTGTCTGTCTAAACACGAAATGAATGCACAAACAGCAAGCATCTCGAAAGATCTTCATACGCTCCGTAATGAACTCTGCTACTACAGAGAAAATAACGCGGTCTGCGTCCTCCCTTTGCTGCTGATGCTCTCTCTCTCTCTCTCTCTCTCTCTCTCTCTCTCTCTCTCTCTCTC